AAAAAAATCAGAGCTGAGTCCTCACTTGAAATGTCTCTTTTTTAAAATAGGACTTTGGCTTCACTTTTTCACAATCAAAAGACCCATCGAAGTGATTTTCTTTTTTTTTTTTTTTTTAAAGATGGGGTTTCACCATGTTGGTCAGGCTGGTCTTGAACTCCCGACCTCAGGTGATCTGCCCGCCTTGGCCTCCAAAGTGGAAGTGATTTTCTTAAAATCAGAGTCCCCAAAGCAAATACACGTTTCCCTCTACCAGCTATTAACATGCCTCATTTCTCTTTCTCCCCCTGCCTCCAGTCTTCAGATACCTAGGAAATCTTCCTTAGAAGGGTCTTAGATTTCTCCTCTAAAAGAAGAACCCTTTGCAGTCACACATTTGAGTTCCTCACAAAATGTGAAAGTGAGGACTAGGTTTTAATCATTGCAGTAGCTTCTAGTACGTAGTATGTGTTCAGTAAACACTGGTTGAATTAAAATGTAATTGGAACCAGAAGGCCTAAATGAAGACAATGGAAACAGAAAAACTACATATTAAAGGTTCTCAAGTGTTGGTCAGAAAAAGTGTGCAAAACTTGGAAATAAGGCAAAAAGCTAAATAGCACATCCTTTTGTTACAGGCAAGGGATTCCAATCCAGACCCTAAGAGAGGGTTCTTGGATCTCTCACAAGAATTCAGGGCAAGTCAGTAGAGGGCAGTGAAAGTTTATCATGAAAGTAAAAGAATGAAAGAATGGCTACTCCATAGACAGAGCAGCCCCAAGGGCAGCTGCTTGCCTATTTTTATGGTTATTTTTTGACGATATGCTAAACAAGGGTGGAGTATTCATGCTTCCCCTTTTTAGACCACATAGGGCAACGTCCTGGTGTTGCCATGGCATTTATAAACTGTCATGGTGCTGGTGGGAGTGTAGCAGTGAGGACAACCAGAGGTCATTCTTGCTGCCATTTTGGTTTTGGTGGGTTTTAGTCCGTTTCTTTACGGCAACCTGTTTTATTAGCAAGATCTTTAAGACCTGTATTTTGTGCCAACCTCCTATCTCATCCTGTGACTTAGAATGCCTTAACCATCTAAGAATGCAGCCCAGTAGGTCTCAGCCTCATTTTACCCAGCCCCTATTCAATATGGGGTTGCTCTGGTTCTCATGTCTCTGACATTTTCACTCTTGTGTGATGGCAAAAATCATCATAGGGTTGTCTAGAGCGATGGCCAATTAACTTTATCTGTAAAGGTTCACATAGTAAATTTCTCAGGCTCTAAGTCCGTGAGCTTTAGGATTTCTGTGTTGAGAGCTCAGGTCTAAATCTGTGGGCTTTAGGACCTCTGCTGTGCGTACTCGGGGTTGCCACTGTGGCACAAAAGCAGTCATGGACAATAAGCAAAGAGATAGATAGACTGGGCTCCCACAGAACTTCATTTACAAAATACACAAGCTGGATTCAGCCAGAGAGGACCATAGTAATGTAGTTTATCCCATTAGTTACTATTGATTAAGGGTCCCAGAATTTGAGAAACTGCTTGTTCAGTTGAAGATTTTTGTCTGGAAGAAATGCAAATAACTTCTATTGGTGGGACAGATTCAGGCCACACACTGCTCAACAGCGGGGAGAAATGCGTGAGGCGATTTCGTCCATGTGTAAACCTTATAGAGCGCACTTACAGAGACCTAGATGATTCAGCCCGCTATACACTTAGGCTGTATGGAAGAGCAAATTGCTCCTAGGCTCCAAACCTGTACGGTGTGTTCGTATACTAAATATGGGAGACCACTGTAACACAATGGCAAGTAATTTTGTATCTAAACATAAGAAGGCACAGTAAAAATATGGTATAGAAGGCCAGGTGTGGTGGCTCAAGCCTGTAATCCCAGCACTTTGGGAAACTGAGGCAGGCGGATCACTTGAGGTCAGGGGTTCAAGACTAGCCTGGCCAACAAGGTGAAATTCCGTCTTTTTTTTTTTTTTAATTATTTTTAATATGGTATAGAAGATAAAAAATGGTACACATGTATAGGACATGTTGACCAAAATTAAGGCTGTTGAGGCACAAATAATTTGAGAAAGGTTTATTGGGGCTGGGTACGGTGGCTCACACCTGTAATCTCAGCACTTTAGGAGGCAGAGGCAGGCAGATCACTTGAGGTCAGGATTCAAGACCAGCCTAGCCAACATGGCAAAACCCATCTCTATTAAAACTACAAAAATTAGCTGGGCGTGGTGGTGCGCACCTGTAATCCCAGCTACTCGGGTGGCTGAGGCGTGAGAAATCTCTTGAGCCCAGGAAGCAGAGGTTGCACCACGGCACTCCAGCCTGGGCAACAGAGCAAGACTCTTGTCTCAAAAACAAACAAACAAACAAAACAAAAAAACAAAGGTTTATTGGAAGCCAGATTGTGTGAACATCATAAAGTATACTTATATTTTATGTTCCCGGTACCAAGTTGGGTCCAGCTATGTTTTCTCAAGGCCTGATAATGATAAGCAGAAAAACTAGGAAAGAAGGGGATTTACGGCTGTAACCTGATACAAGGAGCAGGCCGGAGATAATTCCACTAGATAAACTCAAGGTGTTACAATTTTCTTTTCTTTTTTTTCTTTTTTTTGAGATGGAGTCTTGCTTTGTCATCAGGCAGGAGTGCAATGGTGCGATCTCGGCTCACTGCAACCTCCGCCTCCCAGGTTTAAGCAATTCTCCTGCCTCAGCCTCCTGAGTAGCTGGGACTACAGGCTTGTGCCACCACGCCCAGCTAATTTTTGTATTTTTAGTAGAGCCGGGGTTTCACCATGTCGGCCAGGATGGTCTTGATCTCTTGACCTTGTGATCCGCCCACCTCGGCCTCCCAAAGTGCTGAGATTACAGGTGTGTACCAACACACCCAGCCAATTTTCTTAAAGATTATATAGGTTGGGGTTATGTGCCTACATGCAGTATAGGATTTTCCTAAGTCTAATTTGGTAACTAATTTTGTTTCAACTAGAAGGTCAAAGGCAAAAATGCTTGCTAAGTCAGGTTAGGCTGTGAGGGCCCCAGTATCTTCAAGGCCTGTCTACTGTGGTACCGGAGTGATTATTTCTATCTTACCTCCTTCACAGCTTGGTCTGGGGAGCTGCCTTAGACTCTCCAATGAATCTATGCAGACAGCTGTCTCTGTTACCTTGACTCCTCTCAGATTTTGTTGACCCAAGACCGGTTCTGGCACTAGGAATTTAAGGCTGTCTCTGTTATTTTGTTTGCTCCAGGTTAGGGAGAAGCCCATGCAAGGCTCCTACTGACCATATGTTTCATTTTCAGCTTTGCTGTCTGGGCACTGATTTCCCTGGTTTAACTATTTGCTCAATGTTAAGGCAGCTCTGTGGAAATCTGTTGGTATGACTGTCAGGAAAAATGGGCCTCCCATGCTTACACAAATCTAGGTGGTCTGGCCCACCACACACCTAGGCTGTATTTATGGTCGACCTGGGAAGACAGGCTAAAAAAGTTGAGAGTGTTCTGGAGTCCGCTACAAGTTGGAAGGCTTTCATGGGAAAGTTTAGAAGAAGGGAGGAGGACTCCTGACAGCAGAACCATCCTTTTCATTGGAGGGTAAAATACAGAGGTTATAATCTTTGGCTACAGATTGCAGTTAAAGGCTAAAATACCGACGTTTGATTTGAAAGTGAGTCAGAGTCCTCTTCAGTGTCAAGAGGTTGACTCAAAATAGGATTCTTTACTCAGGGACAGGATGTCTGCGTGAATCACAAGCCCTCCCCCAGGCCGTTAATTTAGAAGCCTGTTTACTTTAAAGCAAACTGTAGCTCGGTGTGGTGGCACATGCCTATAATCCCAGCTACTAAGGAGGCTGAGGCAGCAGAATCGCTTTTTTCTGGGAGGCGGAGGTTGCAGTGAGCCGAGATTGTGCCACTGCACTCCAGCCTGGTTGATAGAGCAAGACTCCATCGAGAAAGAAAGGAAAGAGAGAAAGAAAGAGCGAAAGAGCGAAAGGGAAGAAGGGAGAAGGAGGGGGAGGGAGGAAGGAAGGTGGGAAGCAAGGAAGGCAGGCAGGTAGGCAGGCCAAAAGTGACCTGTAGTTTATCAGGCACTTTCCGTGAATGGAGCTTGCAGCACTGGAAGTTTTCTGGGTGACTCACTGAGTAAGTAGTGAGTGACTGTGAAAACTTACATTACAATGCATGACTGTAGATTAGAACACTGGACACTTAGGCTACACTGCATTTATTTATTTATTTATGTATTATTTTATTTTATTTTATTTTTGAAACAGGGTCCAGCTCTCACCTGGCTGGAGTGCAGTGGTGCAATCACAGATCACTGCAGCCTCGACCTCCAGGGCTCAAGCAGTCCCCTTGCCTCAGCCTCCCAAGTTGCTGGGACCACTGACGTCAGCCAACACACCCAGCTAATTTGTTATGTTTTTTGTAGAGACAGGGTCTCACTATGTTGCCCAGGCTGCAGAACACTTTCTTAATAAATCTTAGCTTATCATAGCTTTTTTACTTTATAAACTTTTCAATTTTTAAAAGCTTTTGGCTCTTCTGTAATAACACTTAGCTTCAAACACAAACACATTGTATGGTGGTACAGAAATATTTCCTTTCTATATCCTTAATCTATAAGCTTTTCTACATTTTTTTCAACTTTTTTGTTCGAAACTAAGATGCAATCACACACGTTAGTCAAGGCCTACTTATAGTCAGAATCATCAATATTGCTGTCTTCCGCCTCCATGTCTTGTCCCACTGGAAGGTCTGCAGGGACAATAACATGCAGGGCTCCGTCATCTACTATGATAACAAGGCCTTCTGGAACACCTAAAAGACCTGCCAGGCTATTGCAGTTAACGTCTTGTTAATAAGTAGGAGTATACTCTAAAATAACAAAGAACAGAATAAGTCCATCAGTAACACAGACTTTTATTACCATTATAAAGTATTATGGACTTAACTGTGCATGCTATATTTCTTTTTTTTTTTTTTTTTTTTTTTTTTTTTTTTTTTTTT